CACGTGCTGGCTAATTTTTGGTCTGGGCCTCTCTGTAGGCTCTTTGTGCTTTGTCAGACAGAATTCTGAACGACATGTCCTGTTACACTCTTTACACACAATAGGCTGGAACCCCTTCTGATTACAGGTAGGGTCAAAGCAAACGGAACAATGAGCAGGGCATCGGTGACTCAGCACACCGTTGTACCCTGTGTAACAGTACTCACACAGATATGGGGAACCCAGAAAGGCCTTTAGATTTTTTATACCATAGTAGTGGTTCTGAAAGAGAAACAAAAATAGGGTTTTACTCTGTGTTGGGCTTTTGGTCATGAATTTACAGAGGGCCCTATCGTCGTCTCCTCTATAAAACACTACAATTTTGCAGTCCAAAGCACGTTCAAATCGCGTGATGTCGCTTAAGGCTACAGGTGTCTGTTCATCCATTCCCACTTTGTTTTGAATCTCTCTGCCGCATTCAAGAGCCTGTCTATCGTTGAGGAGGGGATGTAGAAGATGAGCCAGACAGACGGCGAAACACAAGTGATTCCCCTCGTTTTCTACAATGTACAGAAAGCGTTGTTTTTTTTTAAGATTTCGCTTTGTAACATTTTATCCACCATTGCTCTTTTACCCGCGCCTGTAGGGCAGGTGATCACTTGGAGAACCAGTTCTAGATCACCATCTGTCATAATGGTCCAATTGGATTGTACTATGCGAAGCAAAAGTCTTTCAAAACCCGCTAAATTGTCAACATCACCATCCTGTAAGATAACTGATACATTATTACGGAGATTTTCACCTCTTAGCTCCAACTGCACCACATCTTGGGGTCTCCTGTGTGACAAGGCTTGTTGTAAAATCGCATCTACCTGCTCCAGTGTACCATTGTAAAACTGAGCATAATCCACAACACCCTCTGAATTGGTTGGAGAAGGAAAGCGCAACACCTGACGTATTTCATAATTACAGAATCTATGTCGTGATATGACTCTTGCTTGAGGTGCCACAGGGTCATTATTTTGAGACACGCTGCCCCCTTGCTGTTGCAAGGGAGGAGTGTTGGCTACCTGCTCCATGAGGGGGGAGTTAATGGGGGTCTGATAGGTCGAGGATGTAGAGGGGTTTAAGGCAGGGATTGCATTTTTCAAGCTCGGAGAGAGCATTTTGTATTTGAATCAACAGGTCTGGAGACACAGATGAGTTTAAGACAGGAATATGCTCGGGTTCGGGTAAAGAGGGGATGTTGTTTTGGTGAAAGGGTTCATTCATTTGGTTGATTTCATCTAATAAAGCAGTTGGTATTTCATTTTCTAAGCGTTCCAGATCAACGAGAGCTTGATTTATAGCGTGTAACGGATCTAAGAACTGACTGGAGGAGGTCTCGTTTTCAATTACACTATTTTCAGTTATACCATTTTGAAAGTTTGACTCATTCTGATAATGTCGATCTACCTCGTCTGATAAACTCTGCCTAAGCCCTAACGGTTTGTTTTCATCCATTATCATAAAATCAAAACACACTTAAACCTTAAAACAGACACTATAAAAAACAGGATAAACACGTTTATCTAACTATTGCAAGTGAAAATCAACAATAAAAACAATTACCAAATGAAACAAACAAAAAAAATCATTTAAAACAAATTCAGATAAATCACCTTACTAATTATGATCACTGTAGACAGCCAGCATTTCACCCATTAGTCGGAAAGCATTACTCATTAGAACTAGTTGTTCATGGGCAGTCCGACAGCAATTCTGACAGCCTCTCACGGATCGTCGGGGTCTGTTTGCTGGAGGGACACAAAAACAAAGACACTTTAACCTCTTTTGTGTATTTTAATACAGAAAGTCAGGCATCACCCCTACAAATCACTACATTAATACTTTATAGCAAACAAGCAAACTAGTTTTTTAACTAAATACCCTGAATGTCAGACATCAGTACCAAAACACTGTAGAAGTGCAAAACAAACGAACAAACACCACAGTAATAGCCTACTTTATGAAAAAGAAGCAAAATAGCTTTTAGAGTCAGGTTAACTCATAAGACTACTTTCTGCATAGAACATTTGACATGCTGTTGTATTTGAGAAAATAGTGTGGAATACTTTTAACTCATTAATTGTATAGCCTAATAATCAGCAACATGGTATCACGGAAAACTGTGTATATAGGCTATACTTTTTTATGACTGCATATTTGCTAGGTTAATGGTTTTAGAGCGTTATAACAATTTACTTACTGCTGCTCCTACTACTGCTCTGCTGCTGCTGCTGGTTGAAATGAGCCTTCTACGGTGTTCCCTTTTCCGAGGTCCGTTGTTCGGTATAGGCTCAGTCTGATTCAGCGGCGTACACGGTTCTGCTGGGTCCGGATGAATGATTTCCTCCGCTATCAGTCCCCGCGCTTCTACCGGTGATCCGTTACGTGACCTCCCATCTGCGGCCTGACTGGAGCGCTCTACATCATCGACGGGTGATTCCGGGGACAAATCCGGCTCAACGTGTTCCGGGGAGCCCGGTGTTATGTACACTTGCGGTACCGAAGCCGAGGGCTGATCCGATTCCGGAACCGGACCGTTCTCCTCGTAATTGGTAGGGGAGAGACCCTGCATAAAGTACCGTTCACAATCGCTCGCACCATCTGTGGGTGTAATGAAAGAAAAGAGTACTGTTACCACATCTACGTAAAAGTTTGTAAATAAATAAATAAAACCTACACACTGATTAAAAGTTAAGGTAACCTTACTTACCGACTTCTCCTGTGAGATCTACAACCTGCGCTGATGGAATGCCATTCTCCCTTGTAGAACCTATTTCCTCGCCTGAGTACAAATCTGTAAAAACAATATACAAAATACACATCAGGATAGTACACTTTAAATTTAGAACATTTCTATTTCACTCTAGTACATAGAAGGCCCTCTTACCTTCAAGTTGATATTCGGTTGAATGAAGCCCATTGTCGATCAAGTCAAAAACTGTTAATTGAAAACACGCAGGAATGAAAATACAAAGTGTCGATTTTTGCTATTTCTTTAGTTGTGGAGGAAAGGCTGAATGCGTACCGTGTTCTCTTTGATGGTTCATCGCTCTGGTTTCAAGTCACTAGTGTGAAGACCTCTGGATTTCTGGTAGGGTACTTATAGAAGTAAGAAAACAAAAAAAACACACGAGTGCTGCTCTGCATGTGGGAGATAACTGATGAGGGGTTGGGGCCGTTACTTCTGGTACAACCAGATTATTATTTAGTTCCAAACTCTTGTCTCCGGCTGATAAAAATAGCTTCCTGTTTCAAAAACGAACTCACGAACTCTGTCTGATAAAACCAGACCGTTTTTTTAACATCCGGAGTCTGGGTTATAGATAACCAAAGTTAATAACTGGTCTACAAGATTACCTGAGGATGGCAGCTAAACACACAACACGCCTCATTGAGAAAACAGAGGGAGGTGTTCCAGGACTCCCCAACACGACTCGTTGAGAAAACAGAGGGAGGTGTTCCAGGACTCCCCAACACGACTCGGTGAGAAAACAGAGGGAGGTGCGGGGGGTGGAGCACATTCCTCAATTCACCCCACACCCTATGCTACACCAGAATGAGAGAGGACAGAGAAGAGGAGACACAGACTCTAGAAGGATTAAAGTTTTAAGACTCACAAGTTTAAGACTAGGCTACAGCTTTGGAGTGATAATGATGGCAAGTTTGTAAGACAAAGCAATAGCAAAGTAATTTGGAACACTCTCTTATTTTGCTGCATGCTGTTGAAGGTAATTTGTAATGCTGTTTAATTTTTTACTCACCGTTATACCATTTTACTGCTTTACTGTCATTATTTCAATTTATTCTTCACTTGTTTACTGATGGTAAGTTTGTCACACAAAGCTTTAGCAAAGATTTTGAAGGTAATTAAAAATGCTGTTTAATTTTAACTCACTGTTATACTATTTTACTGTAATTATTTCATCTTATTCTTTAGTTCTTAAATGATGGTAAGTTTGTCACTCAAAGCTTTAGCAAAGATTTTACAAAGTTTAATTTTGGAACTCACTCTTATTTTGCTGCATGCTGTTGAAGGTAATTTTTACTCACCGTTATACCATTTTACTGCTTTGCTGTCATTATTTCAATTTATTCTTCACTTGTTTAATAATAAAGACTGACTTGATTCCAAAGAAACCTCCTACTGATCCTTTGCTGGCCCCGGAGATTCCTCCTTTTACTTATAACTCACTGCTATACTTTTTTAATGATAAATTTATTGTCACAAACACCTCCTAGTTAATTCATTCAAGTTGTATTACTTAATAAAGTCTTTAAATCAATGAAAAACACACAATGGAAGGATGTACGCAACCCTCTTATCAGTTACATACAGACATATTTCCGGTTGGGGCGGGACAGGATGCACCCCCTCTTACCAGTTACATACAGACATATTTCCGGCTGGGGTGGGACAGGATGAACCCCCTCTTATCAGTTACATACAGCCATATTTCCGGTTGGGGCGGGACCGGATGCCCCCCTCTTATCAGTTACATACAGACATCCGGTGGGGTGGGGGACCGGAAATAGCTGTCAAAAATGAGTTTGATGGAATGTATTGGATACTTCTCTCTCTCCCGTTGGGTCTGGTCTTTCCAAATAACCGTCACCAAATAATGTATCGATAGTGGTATCGTTAAAAACGGCCGTCCTTGTGATGCATCACTCCATGAAACCTCATCCCACCATCACCGCCATGCTCTCACACAGGTAACAGCTGATCAGGACTCACCTCTGCAGGACCTTGACTCTGGTTCTGATACAGGTTGTGTTCAGTAAGCAGGTCTCTCGGTGTTGCAGCTGAAGGAGGTGATGTGTCACATGATGATGGGGAGCCTGGGGATGTTCAGAAAGGACTTTGTGCTCAACATCCGCGTCTTCTTCATGTGTCCACCTGTCCTTGTGTCTTCTTTTTTTTGTCCACAGTTTAGTCTCTAGACTGGGAGAGCTTCGAGCAGTAAACACCTGGCAGCTGTTCTGGCTCACAGCGTCCCCCTGGAGACCATCATCCCCATCCTGCAGCACCTTAAATATAAAGGTGAGTGGTGTCCAGGAAAGGGTCCTTGACCTTCAGTCTGATCAGTCCTCTGACTCTTGTCTTTGTGTTCCTAGAACACCCGGAGGCCATGTCCTGTCTGCTGCTGCTGCTCTGCAGAGAGGTATGACAGGAACACACCTGGACACTCGTCTTAGAGACTCCTGGGTCCCCGTTAACGTCTGTTTCCCAGGCCTAGTGAGAAGATGGTGACGAGAGTGCTGAGTTGTCCCTGTCACCAGTTCACCACCACCTGAGACACCAATCACGACAACACGCTGGGAAAATCAAGGCCCAGCTGATCAAGAACAACCAGCGCCGCAAGAGAGGTGAGGACGGACAGACTGAGACAGAGGTGAGAACAGACAGAGATGGAACGATGAGGACAGATTGATGAGGACAGAGGTGAAGACAAATGAATGAGGACAGATAGCACAGAGGTGAAGACTCTGTCTGGGTACCTGATGAACAGCGGTTGTGTGTCCGTCCTCAGTCTTCAGTTACAGCAGTAACCCTGGAACAGATCCTGGAGCTCATGGACAACCTGAGGCTGAGCCTGAGCAACACCAAGAACAGCTGTCAGTACACACAGGCTTATTGATCGCTTCAGGAGATATTGACACTCAGACCCCAATCCTTCAGGCTCTGCAGCACGTTCAGGCCAGCTGTGACGAGGTCCACAAGATGAGATGCGCGCACACACTGACGGGTGATATCACTGTGGCGGCTGATGTCACTTCCTCCTCCTGCAGGAGTACAAAGACTCCTAGACCTAACCTCCCAAGTCCTGCCGTAAGGCTCCGGCCTCCACGCCTCGCTCCCGGGAAGGAGCGGCTCCGCCCAACAACGAGGAGGAGAGTGCCTCCAGCAGGGCCTCTGTACGTAGCCCCACCTCCAGGCCTTAAAGTCTTACATTGAAAAAGTTTGTGTTCTAGGTCTTAAATAATTTTAAACGGGTATTTATTTCCCAGCGTCCATGTAATGCTACCTCTAATGCTCATTGAAATGGCCCCGCAGTGCTCGGAATGGTTTTTCCTCCCGTGGTGGTGTAGTTCTTTCTATCGCTGGTCCAAATATAATTTGCTGTATTACGACTACAAAGACCAACAGGCAGCTTTCGTGTTATTGCTGCAAATCTTTCGGATTGTACCACAGATATAAAACGGATTTATTCTTCAGCTATGGGGAAGTGCAACCTGATCGGTTCTTGGATGGAAAAACAGATCTTGGGGCTTAAAACCAGTCTCTAGCAATGTATTTGAATGGCCTCGCAGTTGTCCGGTTTCCAGCTCTGTCTTCTACTGTACATCTTGATAGTTAAATTAAAAAGAGGACGGTGTTGACTACGGAGTAGCTGAGGTTAGTAATGTTAAAGCAAATTAGGGATGCAAACTAACGTTGGTCCTTTTTAAGCTAATGAGATTATTCTTTTGGATTTTGACGTACAAATGAAATGATTATAATACAGAAGGTAGGTGGTTCTCATGTTTCCTATTATTTATGTTAATTTCTACAAATGTATAAAGTAGTAAATTAAGACAAGGCAAAAATGAACTGAATCTGTAATGATTCTGAGGTCATGTGTGTTCCTGCCATTATAAGGTGGTGAGGCTCAAAACAGCTTGGTGCTGCGCAATGAATATAAAGTCACTGTGGAGAGTATCAAAACCAACCAAATAATTTCCCAGACCTAATGGTTATAATTCAACCCCAGCAGACTTACTTAGCAAGTTTAGCTTTTGGGGTGTAGTTTATTGTCTCCCTGTCTGCTCCCCTGAGTTTATTCATCAGCAGTAGGTTAAGCTTTACAAAGTTGCCAAAGACACAGAACTCTTTTTTTTTTTTTTCTACTGGTGATCCATTTTTCACATCAGCAGGTCCACCACATGCCAGCTTATTAATTACGTAGCTTATCGATGTCATCGTCCATCCCGGTGTTTCATTATAGACATCTCTCGACCCTAATTTGAATACATTGATTTACTCTGCAAGTAATTTTGTGACTGCATTCTCCTTGTTTCTTGAAGTCATGATATAGGTTTTAAATTTCATTCATAATGGTCTTTTTGACCAGGTGAAACCTGCAGAAACCCTGATTGTTCCATTACCTCGTCTACTTAACAATTTGCATTGCTTATGATTCCATAAAACTCCACCTTTAAAGCTCCCTTTTACCTTTAAGTAAAAGTGCTGCTCATGGAATAAAATTATGCATAGTTGCTTTTTTCACAAAACACAGTAAGTAGTAAAAGGAAATAAAGAGATTCAAGTTATCACTTAACACCAAAAAAAATCATTAAGAATCTGGAAATGGAGAATGTTCAACATTATTACAAAAAGAATGGAAACAAATTGATTAAAATTGTTGCTGGTTAATTATCTGATCAAGCAGTCAATTGGTCTATTCAGCTTTACGCATGATTGCCTTATTTTGTGTCAAATGTAGAAATGACAGCTGTTTAGGGTTTTGATACTACAAAGGGAACTCGAATTGTAGTAACGGAGTTGTATTCCTATGTTTCAGGACTATCTGAAAATGGATATCTTGTAAATTTCAAGTTGACTAGTAGTAGAGTTTCCATTAGAATTTGAGTCTAGCACAATACTTTGCCTCTGAATATAAGTTGTGCACAGTTACATTTATTGAGTAAAGAATTAGTGGAATTTAATTTTTAATAAGCATCAGTGAATCAATGTAATTTAGAATGCAGAAATTAAACGTTTGTTTTAAAGAAATTTATTATATTTAAGTTAAGGTTTACTCAAATTATTACCACTACTGTAAAGGTTTGAGGTAATCAGTTTCCACAAATATATTGAGTATTCTGAACTTTATTGGGTTTACAGTGAAAGTGAATACACATTAGTGTAAGTATTTTACAGCCAGATAAAATCCACTTTCCACAAAAGAATCCCCTTCGTTGATTTCAAAACACTGCATGATTAGTTGATTTTAACATACAGGATTATAATGTGGGAAATGCTTGACAGTAAAACAAAAAACAATGCCTCAGCCTTTTTTTAAAGCCTTGTCAAAGCCATTTGTCAAAGATCTAATTTGACAAAATAACTAATTTTCATCAAACACAGCTGGCGTTTGTGAAGCTAATGTGGGGGGGAAATGAAGAATTGTGAGGTGATGGCTCACATTAAAGAAAGAAAGGGGAAGTTACACACGCATTTCTGATGCCGTATTTTATTACAAGTTCTAAAGATGAAGGTTACTGCATTTGCATCGTTATGGGTGTAAATTGTTTGTAAACACTGTCATTGGCTGAACAATGGATGACAATGAATAACAACAAGAATAATGATATTGAATGAAATAAATACACAACACCTGAAACAATACAATATGCACATTTAATAATGCGTATACAAAGGAAAGCACACATGTACATTATCCATTTGTTTAAGTCTGTGTTCCCAACATGTGTATCAGCACACATTGTCAGTATCAAGATGTTATATACAGTATACATGTTTATTCATTTAAAGCTGGGGTTCCAAACACCTGAGGCTGTGGATGTTGGGAGGCGGGATTTCTGCAGGAGGTGGACTGACAGCAGGAAGAGACACACACTGATCCCGCCCAGGATGACCACGCCTGAGATCAGAGCGCTGGTCACCGGGTTCATATGCTTGGAGGGGTTACCAGATTCTGGAGGATGGAAAGATGAGGAAAAGCAGAAGATAGAAACAGACATGTTCTTTGACGTAGCCTTAACATAATAAATTGTTCTTTCAGAAAGAAAAGTGGAACCTTTTTGTTCGGTCATTAATTTTCTTGGATATCTGCTATGTTTACACCATCACAGGTGGCATTTTAAACCTTTTTTATGTTTTGTAACGTTGCATAAGGGAGCTTACCAAGTTGGGAGTTGTTGACACGAGTTTCATCTGAAAAAATATTTTTAAAGTATTAGAATTGTTTTTACAAATACTTCAATCTCCAATGGCTTTGTGTATGTATTTAAAGGAATAGTTTTTCATTTCAGAAATATCCTTATTTGCGCCTTATCTTGCTGAGAATTAGAGAAGATGATTGATACCACTGTCATATTTGGCCATTAAATATGAGCTTGCAGCCAGGAGACTGCTAGCTTAGCTTAGCATGAAGACAGTCTGGCCTGGCTCTGTCCAAAGGTAACAAAATATCTAAAGCTCACTAACACATTATCAGGTTTCTTTAAAGGTGCAATGATGGCCACCTGTCAAATTCATACTCAAAACAAATAGTGGGCAGTATATCACCAAAGTTGCCACTAACTGCTGCTAGCTGTAGCTGCCATTAGCTAGTTAGCTCAGTGTATCCTCCTATTGCTTGCTGTCTGGACTGGGAGTTCGGAGCACCAGGGAGTGTTTACACTGCTAGCACAGGGGTTTTGGACCACTGAGAGGAGGAGAGGTTTTCAGGCCCAGGACCCGGCGGGGAATGCTGGCAGGAGCAGCATCGAAATGCATTAGAACCAGAGCAAGAATCCGGCAGCACGGCCAGACTGGCACTGAACATAACCTCAGATACCGATATAAAGCCAGTTTGACGACAGAGAATACGAGCCTGTCCTCCACAAAAAAATTTGCCCTTGGTTGTTTTAGACACACAAAATGATGACTCATGTTTACATTTATTGTAGCCGTACAATGAAACACATGACAAAGACAGTCACATATAATAAATAGCTATAAAGTTGTACTCCAGTGGTGGTTGGTTGGATGATAGTAAGTTGCTTTTCAACCGGGGGCCGGTGTTTTCCGTGAGAAACTAGATGGATTTGTTTCTTTTTTAACAAAGTAGCTACGCTAGCTTCATAGCGTTCGCAATTTGGAGGTTGGTTAAAACATCTGATGTTGTCGTTTAGCTTAGAGGACTTTTTGGTAATGGTAATGTTAACGAGGGGCTTTACAGTGGTTCCGACCAGCACTCTGATTATGTGGAATGCTATTTATATGATTTGCTGTTTTCCCCTGCTAAGCTAAGCTAACCGTGTCCAAACAGTCTGAAAGGAAGCAAATTAGTCAATTATTGAACTTCAGAGGTGATGGTATAGGACAGACAGAGGCAGCCTTGCTTTTTCCCCCGTTTCCGTCTTTATGCTAACTATGCTAAATTATTGTGAGAAGTGTCAATACTGTTATCTAATTCTCAGCAATGAAATGAATAAGTGTATTTCCCCAAATAGGAACTACTCCTTTAACCTGTTACAGTTAACCACCAGTGTCAGTTTATTGTTCATACCACTCCTGGTGATGATTGGGCCAGCGGTGATGACAGCTTTCCCAGATGCTGCAGGTGGGGAGTCAAGGCTCTCCTCTCCACCCCGCCTACGCCGTCGCCCACAAATCTGCCAATCACATGATCATATTTCAGTAGTCATTGACACACAAATTGAGGTTCACGATTTTTACTGGCACTTACTGGCATGAGCATGATACAGTCATCTGGCCTGCAAAGCTTCGTGACGCAGTGCAAAAACACAGTTGACATCTTTTGGTGTCTGTGTTTAACAAAACGGAAAACCTCAAACGAAAAACGTCCCATCTGACTCTTCCCATTCTCGAAAACTGTCGTCTGCGAGTCTTTGTAGCAGCTGTGTCAAAAGAGTACAACACACATGTACACACAAAATGATAAATTGTACATGTATGCTTAAGCACTCGTTGACAAGGTAGCATTCATGGGGCTAAGCTCTTTGGACAGCCTGAATAGGTAATGACTTCCTTTTGTGGTTTATCAAGTCATCATCTTGAAGTAAAAAAAAAAAAAAAAGGCTAGATTACCCGAAGAAAAGGTCATAGCGGAGTTCATCATTAGGATTCCCTGAGGGGGTTGTGTAACAATAGTCCATCAAGATGTTCCACCTGCACAGAGACAAAACTGAGATGGGATAGAAGATAGAGATCTAACTGCACATGGGAAAGCACAAATCTGGGCTTTCTCTGCTGCAGACTGGCGCCTTCATGTAGCATAATAACATAATGGCATAATGAATGTAGGCAAACCATAGAAAAATTGACTAAATCTGTAAAAATGATGGTGGGAAAGATGCTGTACAAAATATCATTCCGGCTTCACTGAAGTTGTAATGGCAAAATGTCTGCTACATGAGCAATATTTCTAAAAAGATTTATTACATTTGAAAATCAATATTGAACAGCGAATAATCAGATGTTATCTGGTACCGTTTGTCTAAGTTTGTGGCTTTTACAGCTGCAAATACTCTGGTTTTGAGAGCCAGTCCAGCCATCGGAATAGAGAGAGGTTGATTATATGTTGAATCCTGTTTAAAGTGGAGAGAAAAATCAAAATAAAAAGGTTAGTTTTTCACTGTGTTTTCTCAAATTAGAAACTTACAATTAGTAGACAGGCTCAGTCTTGACATAATGAGTGTTTAAAAGATAAGGCTGGTGATATTCTACATTTTTGTTAGTAAATCCTGTTAAGACTAAAACCAACAGTGTATTAGTCCATCTCTCAATACTTTCTATCCTCACCAGCGTGTCTGTCAGCCCCAAACCCATTTCTTCCTGCTGAAGATTTAACTCTTTAAAAACATGTCACGAATATGTTTTGATTTTTTTTTAAAAAGGCTTCATAATTCCCTAAAATAGCTGGGCATGTCAGTTTTTAGCAAACATTACACAAACAGGACACTGTTTGTAAACACTGCATTCGGTGGGAACTATTTTCAGGTTTGGATTAATATACATTTTGTGCACTAGTGAGTATTTATTGCAGCAGAACAATGTTTCTGGGATTCAAAATAAACCACTGAGCCCACGTTCATTGTAATTAAATAAACATTCAATTCAGTGTTGGTTTTAGGCATTTTCATGTGAATTTTCTGATAAGAAAAATATGAAAATCACAATTTATAAGGTTAAATCTGATGATATTTCAATTATCCTCCTAACTGGATAACTAATTAATTAACAGATTCATTAAAATAAAACACAAACTGATTCAAAGATCATGGACATTAAAACATATCCTTCTGAACCTCATAATTCAAAGCTTCAAAGATCATGCATTGAAGTGGAAATTACTGTATATAATAAGTTGAACACAGCTGTGTACTCACATTGTACAGGATCATATTCAACGTGCTCACAAATGTTCCATTGCTGTCCTTTATAGTAACAGCAGCAGAGGAGCTGTGAAGAGATGCAGCACATTTACTTCAATGCTATTTATTCATCTTTTGTGGATGTTCACTTGATAAACATGATTTTGAAAGCACAAATTGTGATGTAGTATTATGATAAAGCTGTAGTACATTTATTTATTTATTTATTTATATGACTAAAAGAGACAGTTTATAGGATTGCATCATTATTATGAAAATATGCATATTCTAATATTAATGGTTCTTAGAATACCAAAACCAGGGGCATAATTGTCACCATAGTTTAGGGGAACAATAAACAAATTCTTAATTAAATGAAGAAATCTTAATATCAAATCCATTGAGTAACTCCTGAAAGTTACTCGATTTTTTGGCAGCCACTTACGATGCCAGCTGTGAGTTATTGACCAGGTACTCCAGTGGGTAGCTGCAGCTGAATTTATACAACAAACCGGGCAGGTAGCTGATTATTGTCGGTGGGTCAGGGGTGTCGATATAGCCGGAGACATTCCCAATTTGTACCAGAGACATGTTCCCATAGGCATTGGCCCCGTAGGCTGTGCTGACCTGCAGATAGAAACATCTCAGCATTGTCACTTTTGTCTTCTCCCAAGTCAATAAACAACTTCATGAAGTTGCTTATTGATTCTATTAAAACCCAATGTCTTGTGTTTATTTATTCTTTACCACCAGGCTGTTTCCGCAGGCCTCCAGAGTGCTGAGACTGATGCTGAACAGGATCACTGTGGGGAAGGTGTTGTTGTTGATGAAGCCACGGCATTGGGCATCACTGTGGTGACCGTTGAGGGCCAAATCTGCGTTGGTGTAGCCGGAGTAGAGCACGGGGCAGAAGTTGATCTTCAAGGTGATGGTCTGAACCCCGCAGTACACGCTGATGTCCCGCTCACCTGGAGGAAAGGTTAACAACACATTTATTTAGCTGTAGAATTCTAGGGCCTGTTTCACAAAAGCAATTTGCGAGCACTTGTAACTCCTTATCCATCTATCCTTTATCTAACAGGGCCATAGGCAGGATTTTAGATACCAAAAAGAAAGTCTATTCAGGTAGTTTCAATTCTTTCCAGTAAGCTTCTTAGTAAAGTTTTAGGAGATTATGAAAACCTCTTTAGAAAAAGGTTTTTACCATATCATTTCCTAACTATTATTAAAGCCCTCCCTACATTGCCAGGAATAAAATTCTGGAGGACAGAATCATTTATTTATTTTAAAATTAATCAGTCTGAGTCTAAACATAGAATCAATCTTACATATTTGTACATTTCTAACTGTAGTGTCAACTACCCCCATGGTGCTAAAATCCTAGAAAATAAACAGAGGACATGATGTCAGTGTAGTCAGTAGTACAGAACTGCTCCCTTATTGATAAGCATGATTTTAGTGCTGTAGCTAATTTGGTTGTTAAATGTATAACAAGGTATACCATTTTTATCAAGCTATTTGTTTTATGAATAAACCATTAGATAAGTATGGTAAAATAGAAAGTACATTATTTAGTGCTAAATACTATAAGCGGTAACATTAAAACTGTAAAACACATTATAATCTAACTGTAGATAGCAGATATAAGAAATTTTTCTGCTTAAGTATTTGTCAAAAAGCA